TGGCGTGGAAGTGAGGGTGGATGTTCGACACATTGCTTGACCTTTTTTCTGTCTGCTTTCGTTGTGAGAAATGGTTAAAAGATAGCTTTCCAGTGGTGGACACACTGCTTCTGGTAACAATTTGAAGAGCGTCAAATGTCGGTGTGTTTATGTCAGTGATCTCAACATTACAGCACTACTGGTTTCTGTTTGCCCAGTATGGACCAGGAAAACATTGAAAAACTTTTGAATTCATTTCCCGTAAGTTTAAAATGTTCTTCTTTAGGGAAGGAACATTTTCTCAGAAGCTATTAATAGAAGGATGCTCACATTTTAACTGAGCATGTAGCACACCAGTTTATATACTTTAATGGTGCGGATTTCTAAAATGTTAAATACTTTAGGCAATATTCTTATAAATTGTTAGTATTTGTAGCAAAAAAAAAAAAAAAAACTATTACAATAAACCAACATTTATTTTTTTAAACTAGTTGTATTTAAAAAAAATGGATCCATTAAAATACAAGTAAATAATTAATCTACACTCACATAAAATTTCAAGCCTAATAATAAATGGTTACTGAGAAAAAAATGTTCCTTACTTACTACATTGACGGGATAGGCAGGCATCTAGAGCAACGGCAACCTGAGCATTTTCTCGTGCTGCTGTGAGGGACATATGAACGCTCTGGAGGTACGCGCCCCCAAGCATGGTACGCTACTGTCGCTATCTGTTAGTCGGGATTGGAAGCGCGGTGACCCTGTTTGCAGGAGATGCCGCATCGTTCGTCACCTCCTCTCTGAGCTGCGAGCCGGGCACCCACCAGTTCGGAAACTGGGATCGCGCCGTGCAGCGAGCGCGCACGCACTGCTTGGCTTTTTTGGTTGAGGGCGAGTGCACCGGGGAATAAAAGAGATCGTCCAGTCCATCTGCCGGTCTATTGCGCTAGTCATTCGGGTTAGAGCACCTCCGGTCCTCCAATCATTCAACGTGTCTCGGAAACCTGACGAGGACATAACTTTTATTTGCGGTTCCGGCCAGAAAAATCTAAGACATTTCTCTAAAAAACGTATTTTTTTAAAGTTTTCAAAACGGTGTTCTTGCCATCCGGCTCCTTTAGAGGTGATCTGTATCTCATTTTACTACCGTCGACAAGAGAAATTAATTATCACAGTTCTTACCCAGTTCCCTCTAGGAGGATATTTTAGGAAAAAAACAAGCCGGAAGCTCCTCGGCACTACCGCTACTAAAATGGTCGCGGCTCCTCTGAACGTCAAACAACGCGAGCTCGTCGCGTCTGATGTGGAAAAAAATTGGATTCCAGAAAATCAGACGCACAACTATTTCGTCGCGGCTGCCCAGGAGGTGGTGCAACCTATTACTTGTTTTCGGAAGCAGTTGATAATCGATTTCAAAGAGCTTGTACAAAAATGAGTATTTTGATGGCGAATTCATTTCCAATTGACCATCTCCGAGGCGGGAAGTATCCAATAAATAAATGTATGATCTTCACCTCTAAAATACCTTCAAAGAGCAGCTAAGCTGAGCTGTTCGAAGAGTAGCGAACTTTCTCAATTTTCAATTAATTTGGCGACCCATGTACCAACAACCTTCAATAATAATAATAATAATAATAATAATAATAATAATAATAATAATAATAATAATAATAATAAAACCACTTAAAAACGGGCCCTCTTTTACCGGGCCCGCTCACATTGCGAGCCTTGCGGGCCTCAACTTTACGCTACTGGGCCTTCCCGTTTTCGTCGCGGGCGATGTGAAGCGATCGACCATTCTGAGTCGGCTTCAATTGTAATTTCTCTCAGGACAGTAGTTGTCAAGTTGTGCTCAGAATTCAAGAGTCGGAGAATTAGAATCGATCTCCGATACTGAAACACTACGAATTTCGGACCTTCATCCTTCAAAAAACATTTAGAAGAAAGAAGCTCAAGCTGCAACGGCAACCTGAGTATATTCTCATGCTGCAACGCGGGGCATATGAAAGCTCTAGAGGTCTGTACTCCCAGGCAGGGCGCGCTACTATCGCTATCTGTTAGACTACATTGGAAGCGCGGTGTTTGCAGGAGACACCGCATCGTGCGCCACCTCCTACCAGAGCTGCGAGCCGAGCACCCACTAGTTCGAAAACGGGGATCGGGTCGAGCAGACTTGCTTGCTTGCTGCCTGCGGTTGGTTTGTTTGTACGAGATGAAATTGATTTATTTCGCTCGTAGGATAAAAAGTTAACTTTTAGCATTCCTATCATATAAAAAATCTATTATCGGAGGTGAACAATAGTATCGCGAAAGTAGCAACTAACACGGCGAAGATAATTTTAATTCATAAATTACAATCCCGTAGGCTTGCGTGGAAAACTTGTTTATTGAATGTCTAAAAATGGTTGGTGTTTGACAAAATGGTTACTGTTAAGATTTGCTAATTTTTGGTGATTATTCTTTAACTGCGTGCCTAAAATAGGTTCTTTCAGCATCTCAGTTAGGCTTTTTAAATGTTATAATAGGCACAAATAAAACAGGAAAGTTACAAAAAGACACGTTTGTATAATTTATTATATATATTTCTCAAAGATAAAACATAAGTCAATATTACGTAGAGTCTGTATTGTCTATTTTGCGATAATACTGTTCATGAACACGTTTAATTCTTTGTCCTCTATTTAGAATTATTCTTACCGTATTTGGCCTCACAGTAAATTACTAATACTTTCTCCTAGTTTAAGAGAAAATAAATGTCTCATATCGATCAAGACCACTTTTATTTAGTGGAATTTCAATCGCTTTTTTATCTTTGAAGCGGAGGCAGGCTCTTGCAAGTCAGGAGTGGCATGGAGACTTTTATCGCAAGATGTCCTGAATATTCATTTCTCGCTATCTTAGAGATTAATGCAACTTAAAATTCATATCATCCTTGTCTGCTGTGCCGTCACAGAAGAAAAATGTGAAAAGAAGCCACGTACAAAAGAACAAAAGAAATTAGGCAAATTAGTCTCATTGTACGTTTTTAAAAGTAAGATAGGCACAAATAGGTATTTCCGTTGGAATAGGGTATTTTAGGCGCTATGCAATTGACGCGTTTTAGTTCCAATAAATCTAAAATATATACAATGTTATTTAGTCATCATAATCAGTTTTTTCCGGGCTTGAAGGCCGTGGTCCAATGGAGACTTGTCCCACTTGTTGGACAAGTCTCCATTGGACCACGGCTTTGAAGCCCGGAAACAACTGATTATGATGTGGAAACCGGCCGTGAAAGCCTACATTGCATGTTATGTTATTTAGTACAAGGGACCCAGGAAAAATAGGCTTTTACTTAAATATCCGCTGTCTAATGAAAATTCACTAAATAAATAAATTGTAGTCACGCTGTTAGCCCCGACGCGACCACATAACGGCTGACAGTGACGTGCGGGGATTTGCGAGGCCATGGATACTTATTGTCGTCAAAACACCACTTCCCTCAAAATTTACTCGTTTGAATTTTGCACGGTGCTGAACAAGCTGATAAAATTTCATGTCAATCCGAGTATCCAGCATGGTGAGTGTTGATTCTAGTCAGCCTGAGAATGCTACGCTTGGGTATGCGTTTAAGAGTTATTTACTGCCTGCTCCATTTTTTTAAATTGTTTTTTATTTGCAAATTATTTATCTTCGCATCGGCAACAAGGTCATTAGCGACTAAACATATAAATACATTTTACAATTACAATATGCAATTCAGAACCATATTAATTATCATAAACAGTACGAAAATTCAATACAAACAATTCAATACGTACATTAAATGCGATTCATAAAATAATATAATACAATACAAGTATAAGTAGTTCCTCTAACTGCTATTGTAAATATTGATTTCCTTACGAAATCAATAATTCTCATTTGATAATCCTTCGAGTTAAAAATGTTTTCATGTCCGCCTTCTAATTGTTGTTTATGGCTGCTGCTTTTGTATAGACGGCAGTCAATTAATGCGTGTTTTACATTTAAAAGAACTTTACAATGGTCACATTTAGAAGGGTTCTTTCCCGTTATAATGCGAGTACGCGTCAATTTAGAATGTCTTAAAATGACTACCTGATCTTTGCGTGGGAATTCTTTAGATCGTTTTAAAGACGTAATTTTGCAGACTTTTCTGTGTGTTTCACTTGGCTTCATCGATTTCCATACTTTGAACAAGATGTATTGCATTCGGTTAAATAAATGGTTCCAACCGACCTCGAATGAGTTCGAAATTTCTGGAACACCTGCAGCAGTTACATGGGTGATCATTTCTTTATAGAGAGAGACGTTACTTATTCAATGACACCATCGAGGGGCGTGATCCACGATAAAATGATGTTTTTTCCTGATCATAATGCAATTCATGGATTAAAACTACCATATCATTTTTAGGATGGTTGCTGCTTATTGTACATCGAGAGTACCTATAGTATTTATAGTACTTATAGTACTTCGAGAGAACTGGAAAAAACAACGAACTTTTTGGCGTTAACCGATCTGATTAGTTTGAAGGCCGCAAGCAGAGAGCATAATTCTGCTGCGGAAGTTTTAGCAAATGAATTTAGTTGTTGATTTATTTCTATTTCTTGAGTAGTTACAGTAGCAAAAGTTGCATTATTGTTTTTGATACCGTTAGTATATATTTTATAGTAGTCGGTATTGATGAATTTCTTGTTCTTTCTGTTTCCACTCCGGGCCTTCGGGCCGTGACGTCACGGTCTGTAGGCCGAGCGCGCGCGCCTCTCGTAGGCCTGTGCATTAGGCCTTCATGTTGTCAGAAGAGGTGGCGCACCGTGCTTCAAGTGCATTCAGGCGTCGCGCTGGAAAAATGCGGCGAGCGCGGGTCACGTTTCAATGCTAAAAACAGACAACCAAGAGGAATGTTTTCACTACTGTGCTAAAGTTTGTACGCATTTTTTGAGACTGCCTAGTATGCAATATTTCTGTTGAAGTTGGACACTTCTAATGAACGAAAATGTACTACATTTACGTTTTAATGTGTATTAAATGTGAGGTAAAATACAGTTTAATACTATAAATTATTTAAATATTGCATTAAATATTTGTTATTATGCATACGATAAAGCTGCTTAGGACACTTCTCCACTGCTTCTAATCTGTGAACTAATTTTAATTAAAACGGTCAAGCTGTGGAAATAATACTCGCAAATATATTTTTATTCGTTAACACATAGATCATAAGTAAGTAGGTTGTGATTTTGTTCTTTAAATGAAATTTCATAATCATCTTTCCAATATGTGTTCTCCACACATTTCTTTAATTAATGTTAGGTAGTACATTTTGTAATTTTGTAATATTAGTAATTTTTACGTTATTTTGAACGATATGTGGCAATATATTTTTCATAGCCATGATGAAGGAATAAGACTTGTAAATTCCGAAACGTTGGCAATCAGAATTGTTTTCATTTACCTGATAACATCCCGTCTGTATGTTATCTGCTTTGCAGCATGTTGGTTTCGATCTACAGACGTTATGTTTATGTTTAGTGAAGGTCGAATGTAGCCCTTTAAATTTTTTAAAAACCTCGCATTTTGAAAACAAAGCAATAGCATTTTAAAAATTAAGATTTAGCATTTCGTAGTACTTGCTAAATAAATTATTATTAAGGATCTATTTGAGATAAAATTACTTTAATGCTTTGTAGATTTTCCCATTAAGTCTGGAAATATGGGAAACTAATATTTTGCCGGGGCGGGGCGGGTCTGGGCGGGTCTG